TAATTCTCATTCAGTGTTTTCTAAACAAACACAGGCCTGATCTTGTAGTAGTTTCAAACTCATTACCATTTTCTTGGTGTGTCTCTCAACTCTCAAGCTTAAACAAGTCTAAATGTTGGTATGGTTCATGGGTATTCTGGCTTCTTGTTCTCCCTTTTTATTTCTTCTTTATTGGTTGCTGCTTGGATCTCCCTTTTTATTTTTTTGCAGATTTTTTCTGTTTGGCTTTTTTGAATCAAGTGAGTTCAAGATTTGTCCATTTCAAAACTTTTTAATTGCTTAAATTTTTTTGATTGGAGTGAAGCTGTTTTTTTAATAATATTTTTTTTAATAATAGTTTATTTATTTATTTATGTGGAGTTGTGATCTGATGATATGTAGAAGTTCAGGTGATTGTGTTTGACATCTGAGTTCAGTAAATCTATATTGGCCTTTCACTAAAAACATAAATCTGCTCCAGAAAGTTTCTGCTGATTGTTGCTATTTCGATATCTACTGTTCATCCAGACTGACGGAAAGATCTGATTTTGTTCAATTTCTTCTAACCCCAAGAGATTTTTTTACCTGGGACTTCGATTTTTCTCTTAATTTGGGAAATCTTTTTTGGATTCACTTCTTCTTGACTAATTTCTACTTTGTTGAATTTCGTTTTGTAAGTGCCCAATAGCTTTTAGCTGGTGCCCACCTTGGAAAACGTTCACCAAATTTCTGTATTTTTGCATTTTGTCTTTGGTTCACCCACATGAAATAACGAAAGATGAGGGTTTCATCACTTGCTTGTAAACTTTCTTGCTCTGTCCAAAAATTGGTTCTTTCCTTGCTGAATTACATTAATAATATAATGAGCATATGTTTCAAATTCACCCTTTTCTTACCACATAAAATAACATTGTCATGGGTCTCTAGAGTCTAGAGTCTGCCTGTACCGTACGGTCTCAAGATTTTGTGTATCCTTTTTATCTTCACTTTCATACTTATGGGCTTTGTGTAAATATATTTATTCTGTTACATATGATAATCTTGTGCAAAATTTTATTTTGCAGGCTGAATTATGCTATCTATGAGTGTTGTAAAGTTGGGATTTTTAAGTTGTGGTCTCGGATTATTTGATTGGTGGGCTTATTAAGTGAGTGATATTGGTGGGGTTTTCGGGACCTTTTCTTTAGACAGTCTTAGGTTACTGTTTTTTCTGAAGGCTAAGTTGTGAAAACAAGATAAGGCCTTTGAAGAAAAGCAGACAGCACCACAACGAAGGAAGGAAAAAAAAAAAAAGAAAAAGTAGAAAAAAAGTGTATGAGCAGATGTTATCCAGTGAAAACCCTCCACCAGATCTCTCATGTTCCTGCAAAATCTCACAGCCGAAAAATAGTGATGAATGGGCTTCTGATGATAACCCACTTCCCAATTTCTCCATAAGGTAAAACATTATCTACTGTTATTCTCTGTATAGTTCTCCAACGGTCATAAATAGAGTCTTGTTATTGCTACATTTCTTTAGCCTCTTTTTTTTTTCTTTCTTTTTTCAGATCCAAGCAGGATGATTGTATGTCTTTTTTGTGATTGATAAATGGATTTTCTTTCATCTTTTGTGAATATGATCTATTCATTTTATTGCTGTTATCCTTTCATTTTCTTTTCTCTTTGTATTGGGCTAGTCCCGCTTAATTGCTGCTTTAGCAGATTTTGGTTTCGGGGATCTTGTAGATATGTCAACGTAAAACTATTGTTTGTTTCTGTTATATTTCCTTTTCCTTTTCTTTATCCATCTTGAGAAGTCAACATTGACTATGTATTCTTGGATAACCAGCGTTTTTGGACATTATATGCTTCTTGGCTGACTTTACCATAAAAACTTTGTCGTCATTTTTCATTTGTGGGCTGTATTGTGAATTTGATGCTAAATCCCCCTCCTGGGGCTAGCTTTTAATACACATTACAGCTTCCCTTACCTATTCTTTTTTATCGAGA